AGTTTGCACATTCTCCCCGTGTCTGCGTGGATTTCCTCCGGGTGCTCCGGTTTCCTCCCACAGCCCCAAAGATGTGCAGGCTAGGTGGATTGGCCATGGGAAATTGCCTGTAGTGTTCAGGGATATGTAGATGAAGTGGGTTAAAGGGAGGTGGGTCTGGGTGGAATGCTGTGAGGGTCAGTGTAGACATGTTGGGCCAAAGGGCCTATTTCCCCACTGTAGGGATTCTATTAAAAAAAAACATACAAATACAGTGTCTACAAGAGCAGGTCAGACCTGGGAATCCTGCAGTGACTAATTCAGCTCCTGACTCTCCAAAGCTTGTCCACTATCAACGAGGCACAGCTCAGGAGTGTGATAGAATACTCCACACTTGCCCTGGATGAGTTCAGCCCCAATAACACTCAAGCAGCTTGACACCATCCAGGGTAAAGCAGCCCTTTTGACTGGCATCACATCCATCAGCTTCAACATTCATTTCCCCTCCACCACTGACACTCAGTAGCAGCAGTGTGTACCATCTACAAGATGCACTGCACCAACTCATTAAGGCTCCTTAGACATCACCTTTCAAAAACCAGGACCACCGTCATCTGGAAAGCAGCAGATATCTGGGAACACCACCCACCTGCAAGTTCCCCTCCAAACCACTCACTGTTCTGACTTGGAAATATATTGCTGTTCCTTCATGATGGCTGGCTCAAAATCCTTGAACTCCCTCCCTAACAGCACTGCAGGTCTCTCTACACCACAAAGATGGCAATGGCTCAAGAATATAGCCTACTGCCACCTTCTGCAGGGCAATTTGGGATGAGCAACAGTGGTGTCCTCAGAGCAGCAAATCCAGAGGGAGATTTCAGAGGCATCCAGCTGATGGATCCTTTGGTGCCAATGGGAAACCCACCAATGAAATTGTTTGGGCTGCTGGAGCAGGCCATTCCTAACAGCAGCAAAACGGCATTAGCCCTGGTGTTCAACAGCAGTTTAGTGAAACCAGTAGGTTTGCCATTTGGTCTGACAGGAGGAGAGAGGCAGGAAGGTTCTGGAAGGGAATTCTGGGGCTTATGACATGGATGGGTGTAGACATGGTTACCAATGGTAGTGTGGAGAGAATGTGCAAGAGGCCACTGTCGGAGAGACTTGGAGTTTGTACAGGGCAGGAGGAGGTAACAGAGCTAGGAAGAATGGAGATCATATTCGGCCTGAAGGACATATATGGGAGTTTTAATTACCGAGGAGCAACTGCACAATGAGGCAGGGTGGGGACATGAGCAGGGCAGATGGGTGTATTATGAACATGTCTGAGTTAGGACATGGGCAGGAGATTTCACGTAAGCTCACATTTGTAGAGGGCCAGAGAAGAAGGCAAGCTTTGTGATGTCAAAGAACTGATGACTATAAAAGCTTTTTGTTGATGGAGGTGGGGGTGAGCAAACTCAGTCTCGTCTCTCACAGGAAATTGACCTAGTCAGTCACTCTGATCTGACAGCCATCATAACATCAAGAGAATGTGAAGATTTCAAAACCCTTACCAGACTAAATGTTTATGGCACTGATCATGTTATCTAGTATGTCGAAACAACAACTCACCAAGGCTTCAAGTTAATAGCATATCCAAAGATGCTTCAACTGAGCATTTTAAAACAAAAGTTGACAACGAAACACCTAAGGAGGTCTTAAAGCAGACAGAAGCTTTATCCAAGAGAATGTTTGGAGGAATGTCTTAAATGGAGGGGTTGGGGGGTGAAAGGAATGCATGGAGGCAGAGAAGTTTCAGGAGGGTCATTCAGGGTTTGTGGCCTAGGCTACTGAAGGCACGACCACCAATGGCAGAGCAGTTAAAATCTGGAACAGGCCACTTTTAGAATATTGCGTATAACTCTGGCCCCTCTGCTTTAGATGTTGTTAAACTAGAAAGGGTGCAAAAAAAATTACAAGAGTGTTGCTGGGACTGGAGGGTTTGAGTTATGGGGGGAGGCTAAATAGGCTGGGGCTACTTTCCCTGGAGCATCAGAGGCTGAGGGGGTGACCTTAAATAGGTGTATAAATCATTAGGGGGATGGATAGGGTGAATAGCCAAGGTCTTTTCCCCAGGGTGGGGGGAGTTCAAAACTAAAGGGCATAGGTTTAAGGTGACAGGGGTAAGATTTAAAAGGGACCTGAGGGGTGACTTTTTCACACAGAAGGTGGTGTGTGTATGGAATGAGCTGCCAGGGGAAGTGTTGAAGGCTGGTACAATTACAACATTTAAAAGGCATTTGGACAGGTACATGGACATGAAAGGTTTAGAAGAATATGGGCCAAATGCAGGCAATTGGGAGTAGTTCAGTTTAGGAAACCTGGTCGGTATAGACAAGTTGGACCGAAGGGTCTGTTTCCATGCTGTATGACTCTATGACTCTATAACACTCACAGGACTAGAGGAGCACTGTTATCCCATACGGTTGTGGGGCTGGTAGAGATACCAAGGTAGGGAGGAGCAAGGCCAGGGAGCAATTTGAAAACAACTTTGAGAATTTTAAAAACAAAACACTTGCCCAGGAGCCAGCATAGGTCAGAGAATGGGGAGACGGTGCCCTCGTGGTAAAGTCATTAGATTAGTAATCCCAAATGCTAGGTTCATGTTCTGCCAACATGGGTTCAAATCCCACCACAGCTGACAGTAGAACATGAATTCAATACAAACGGGGAATGAAAAGCCAATGTAACAGTGACCACTATCGATTCCCATTAGAAACCCATCTGGTCCACATTTTGCCCTTTAGGGAAGAAAATCTGCCATCTTTACTCAGTCTGGCCCACATACAACTCCAGATCCAAAGCAGTGTCATTGACTTTTACCTTCCCTCTTGGTAAATAGGGTTGGGCTATGAATGCTGGCCAAGCCAGTGACACCCTCATCCCATGAATGGATACAAACAAGAACATAAGGGTGATAACTGAGACACATGCAGGCAGCAGAGATTTGGATCACCATCGTTCTTAACCAGAAGTTATTTTCCTCACCCAGCAAGGCAACAGAGGTCCTCATAAAGTGGCACAGTGTTATTTTATTTCAGTTTGATTGTAATCTCACTGGAGCAGACGGCATTTGGAAATAGTGTTTTCCTGGAGTTGCTGTGGCCTCCTTCAATTATTCCAGTCCTTGTTTTCCTAATCACCAATGACAGAACTGACAGCAAGTCTCTACCAGCAGCTATCCCATGGGAAGCCTGTGGGACTGGGGTCACATTGCAGACTAGCTGCTGTAATCTGTTCTACTTCTCCACTAGGACACTGACACCTTTGAGTGATGGCAGGAATGCGTTAACACGTACAGAACCAATCTGCATTCACTTTCAGCTGCCAAATTATTGTTAAACATAATTTGATAATGCAATCACCGACTGTACAAATAAAACTAACAATATAACAACATGGGAATGCAATGGTGTGGTATGGTATTATTATTAATCCAAAGACCCAGGTAATATTCTGAAGAAGGGTCTAGGCCTGAAACATCAGCCTTCCTGCTCCTCTGATGCTGCTTTGCCTGCTGTGTTCATCCAGCTCTACATTCTTGTTATCTAATATTCTGGGGATCCAATTTCGAATCCCACCATGGCATCTGGAGGAATTTGACTTCAATGTTTTTAAAAATTGGAATTAATACTCTAAAGGGGACCATTACTGATTGGCGTAAAATTCATCAGGTTCACTAATGTCCATTAGGGAAGGAAACTGCCATCCTTACCTGGTCTGGCTTACACGTGACTCCAGACCCACAGCAAGGTGAAACAAAAACAGAAATTGTTGGAAAAACTTACTGGGTCTAACAGCGTCTGTGTAGAGAAATCTCTTAACAGATGCTGCCAGACCTACGGAACTTCTCCAGTAATTTCTGTTTTCATTTCTGGTTTATAGCACCCACAGTTCTTTCAGTTTTTGTTCACAGCAATGAGGTTGACTCTAGAGAGCATAGGAAATTAGGGAAGTGTAATAAATGCTGGCTGAGCCTTATAAACTATTTTTAAAAACACAAACAAAACAGAATAGTTCTATAAGTAAAAAGGGGCTTCTTTAAAAAAAATCCTGCAATTTGTATAATGCCTTTTATGCCGCTCCCACAAAGCACTTTACAGCTAACCAGGTATATTTTCAAGCATGAGCACTCTTGCAACATCAGCAATATGGCACTCAATTTGTGCACAGTAAGTTCCCACAAGTGGAAACACGACTGACCAAATAACTTGAGCTAACGAGGTGTAGAGCTGGATGAACACAACAGGCCAAGCAGCATCAGAGGAGCAGGAAAGCTGACTTTTTAGGTCCTTCTTCAGACCCGAAATGTCAGCTTTCCTGCTTCTCTGATACTGCCTAGCCTGCTGTGTTCATCCAGCTCTACACCTTGTTATCTCAGATTCTCCAGCATCTGCAGTTCCTACTATATCTGACCAGATAACTTGGTTTTATTTTGTGATTTATTTTGAGAGATAAATACTTGCCAGGCAACTGGAGAGAATGCCCCTGTCTTCTTTGTAATTGTGCCCTGTGGTCTTCTACATAGACCCCAGAGGGCAGATACAGCCATGGTTACTGTGGAAATATAGAACTGGCTGGAGTAGGCTATTCAGCCCTTCATGCCTGCTCCACCATTCATGGATGATCGTCCAGAAAGCCCTGTCTGAAAGTCAGACAATAAAAGGAAAGATTCATCGACAAGTTGTTTTTAGTTATTATTTTTGAATATAGTAATATAAGGTAACTCAAAAATATCACTTGTGCCAAACGTCAAAATAATTCGGTTCTGTTTTCAACTTGGGGGTTACTTCTTCAGAAAAAACAAGTTTGCCATATACCTCTTTTCCATGAAATTAATACATTAGTCATTTAAAATATAGATGCTTATCCAATTTTAATCTCATATTGCACTGATATATGTTTCCAGTTTATCTTTCGGAGCCTTTTGCTTTGAAGTACGTTTTGTTTTTTTAACACTTGTCTGAGTCAGAGCCAAGCTTTCACAGCTCCCTCTACCAGCACAATCTCAGTAGCTCACAGGTTAAAAGCAGCAATTTCCTTCACGGGGTTAGAAGCCTGTTCTTTCAGAGAATACAACAGGTCTGGTTGCAGGGTTCATCAGCTACAAAAACAAGCAGTTCATTCCAGGGAGTAAGATCATCAATTGCAAACACCCCCACTGGGAGAAACGGGCTAACAACAAAAAGGATATTTCAAGGAGCACAGTCTACCGGGTGTAGCAGCAACAAGACATGCTGTAAGGCACAGCTACTGCCCAGGAGCACTTTATCTCTTTGGTTGCTGTTGGAACACCCCATCCCGCCGAGTCTTGTAAAGACGTTTCTCTGGGCCGTCCCAGGGATGAAAAGTTTCCAGGAAACTTCTGATAAAGGAGACAGCAGTAGCTGAAGCAGAGGGTCCCTGTGTTGAACCTGCCTTCCCACAGAGTCAGTCTTTAAGGACGGTCACGGTGATAAAGGCTCCATACCAGGAGAAGCAAATAAGCAGGAGGGAAACGCAACTGATAAGTAAGTTATCTTGCTTCTGAATTACTTTTACTTCAAAGGGCATCAGGGAAAGGACTTACAATTGCGATGTTAGATTTTTTTTAATCACTCTGAGTGTCGCTGGCTGTACCAGTATTTATTGCCCATCATTAGTTGCCTTTAAGAAGGTGGTGATGAGCTGCCTTCTTGAACCGCTGCAGTCCACATGCTGCAGGTATATCCATTATGGGGGGAGTTTTGCAATTTTGACTGAGTGACACTGAAGGGAACAGCAATATATATAAGAATGACTTGGAGGGGAACCTGCGGGTGGTGGTGTTCCCATGTATTTGCTGCCCATGTCCTTCTAGATGGAAGTGGTCAGGGGTTTGCAAGGTGCTGTCTGAGGGTCTTTGGTGAATTTCTGCAGTGCATCTTGTAGATAGTACACACTGCTGCTACTGAGCGTCGGTGGTGGAGGGAGTGGATGTTTGTGGATGTGGTGCCAAACAATCAGGCTGCTTTGTCCTGGATGGTGTCAAGCTTCCCAAGTGTTGTTGGGGCTACACTCATCCAGGCAAGTGGGGAGTATTCCATCACACTCCTGACTTTGCCTTTAGATGGTGGACAAGCTTTGGGGAGCCAGGAGGTGAGTTACTCACTCATAGGTGATTTGAGGGTTATTATATGAATGTAATTTTCATTTATCATTACAATCTTGTTCACCCTGCTTTTATACATCAGCCTCACAGTTCAAATTGTAGATAATGCTAGTTAGATTTAAAGAAAAGTAACTCCCTGCTTGAAGAAAACACTACTTAATTTCCGAGATGGCGGTCTATAATTGGTAAGGTGCTACAAGAGTTTGTATTTGTATTTCAGCTATTTGCAATCCTTAGCGATAATTCAGATGAGGCAGTGAGTGCAATGAATTCAAGTTTGCTGACAATACAAAGCTCAGTTGACAAATAAACAGTGAGGAGGACACAAAAAGGCGAGAAATGCTAGATAGGCAGTTTAGGTGGGTCTGCAAGAATATGGCAGATGGAATTTAACATGGAAAAGTGTGAAGTCATCCATGTTGGAAGGGAATTGAGAAAGCAGCATGCTTGTATTCAGAGGGACCTGGATGTCCTTGTATATGAAGTTTACAGTCAGATACACAAGCAACTAGAAAAGCAAACAGTGTTTGTCTTTATTACAAGAGGATCGGAGAGTGAGAGTGTAGGAGACTTACTGCAATTGTACAGGGCATTGATGAGACTGCACATGGAGTGCTGTGTACAGTTTTGGACCCATTACTACAAGAAAGATATACTGCCTTGGAGAGAATTCAACATGGGCTCAACAGATTTATGACAGGAATGACAGGATTGTCCTTTGAAAAGAGGTTGAGTAGATGCCAAGTTCCACTCCAAGCCATTCCCCGTCCTGACTTGGAAATATATTGCCATTCCTTTAGGGTCACTGGGTCCAAACCCTGAAATTTCCTTCCTAACAGCACGTTGGGGGTCCCTACACCCCAAGGACTACAGCGGTTCAAGAAATGGCTCGCTACAACCTTCTCGAGATAATTTCAGGATGGGCAATCCAGGAATATACGGTGATGCCCACATCCCCTGAACAAATAAATAAAACAAAACCACTATCTGAATGTACAAATTAGGAGCAGGAGAGACGGTTGTTTGTGGGACTTGCTTTCCTTTAATTCATTCACAGGATGTGGGTTTCACTAGCTCAGCCAGCATTCATTGCTCATTCCTAACTGTCCAGATGGCAGTTAAAAATCAGCCACTTTGCTGTGGGTCTAGAGTCATATGTTGGGCAGACCAGGGGAGGACAGCAGTATCCCTTCCTAAAAGGCTTTAGTGAACCAGATGGGTTTTCTGACAATGGTTTCATGGTCATCAGTAAACAGTTAACTCCAGATTTTTATTGAATTCAAATTCCACCAGCTGCCATGGGGGGATTTGAACCCAAGGCCCCAAAAGATGACCTGGGTCTCCTGATTAATAGTCATTGTCTTCCCTTGCTAGGTGCAAATTGCTGCCAACATTCCTACATTCCAAAGTGGTCACCACAGAAACCTTTGTGCCTCAAAAGTACTGTACTATCAAATGCTTTGGATCTTCCCTGTTCTGTCTCATGGGTCAGTTTGTCAATACCTTTAACAGCCATACTCATGATAGCATCATAGCCTGTGACCAGAGGCTATAAAAAACTCACACTCTACCTTAACTGGAAGCCACTTGAAACATGCCCCTTGGTGAAAGCATGCTACAGTTTGTAACTGAATAGCTTAATATCAGCTGAGACACCTGAAGTGCCTGTGAATGTAATATTTGAACAAATCAAGAGCTGTAATAAACCTCCATTAAATCTTTCAACACCATGTTAGCTGCATCTAGTTGTGATGTTATGGGAGCCATTTGCAGTACAAAGTATAACTACCCCACAGGAGGTAAAGCCCAGGCACCGCAGTGTAGTTCAATTCTGAGGACACGAGTGCCTCTACAAACTACTCATTGCTTCAAAAACATTCCTCAACCGAACAAACTAGTGTAGAATTGCTGCATGAGCATCCATTTCTGGGCAAGCCTTTGCATTGTCTAAGTACAGGAGTATGGTTTAGATTAACGACCAACAGGTTCCGACGATAAATATAACACGGAACTTTGGCTGCACTAGGTTTTACATCAGTTGTGAGGTTTGGTTTTGCCAGACAGCTCACACTGATGATTACATCAGACTGACTGGGTGACTTATCTTTAAAGCGACCTGGAAGTAATTCAGAATTTCATTCCAATACAGATATTCCCAGTTGGCAGTGTTTATGTGTCTGTTTAAAATGAAAGAACTGCGGCCTCTTCCTCACCCTCTGTTGTGCTCACATCCCAATCATAATTTGGTGCAAAACATTAGTGTGAGTGCTGCACCGGCTTTAGGATGAGATGTTAAACCAAGGCCACATTTATCTGATTGTGTGGATGTCAAAGATCCAAATGACAGCCAGGGAGTTACGCCCTCAGTACCCTAGCCAATATTTACCACACAATCAACGTCACCTCAAATATGATTATCTGGTCATGTTCTCATTGCTGTTCTTGGGAGCTTGCTGTGCAAAAATTGGCTGCCGCATTTCCTACTTTGCAACAGTGACTGCACGTCAAAGAAGTACCTCACTGGTTGTCAAGCTCTTTGGGGTTGTTGAAAGACGTTATATAGATGGCAAGATATAGACGTTCCTGCCTCTGAGCCAAAGGTTTGGGTTCAAACCCCACTCCAGGACCTGATGGTCAAAGAAGGTGAATTCACAATGTGCCCAGACCGGTTGCTTAGTAACAAATCCCTCTGATAGATCCACAGCAGACAGTAAAAAGGGGAGAGTTTTCTGGTAAACCAGAGCCCTGCGGGAGTTACATCACTTCAGCTTCCCGATGTTACAGCAGTTCCAATGGGCATGTTGTGTCTCACAAATATTCCCCACAATTCAAGGCCTGTAAGAAGATGAAAAGTACAAGCTGTTTTTCTTTGGTTCTCAGCGGAAATTATTTTCAGTACTTGGGTGTGGAACTTGTCTCAGCTATCTGGGATGATTAATGCAACTCAAGAGGATGAAAAATACCAACATTCTGGGAGCAAAGCATTTAAAAAAAATAGCCACTTGGAGCAGAATTGAATTTTCTTAGTTATAGACCACAATAGCTTGGCGAGAATGCAGGTTCGAGAAACAAAATGACTCACAAAGCCATAGTTTAAACAAGAGGATAGCCAGAGAGCTGGAAGAATTGCAAACTCCTGAGGCTGTGGCTACGAGCTACAGAGAAACACAGAGCATCAAGCTTGCCTTGCACCAGTTAGTGACAGAAATTCTCTTAAAACATTGAGCACTTCGACCCTTCAGGACTTATCTGAATTTCTAAGAATTGTCGCACCCAGTTCAAGCAGACAAGCCAAGTTCTTAGAAGTGAGAATGTCCAGCAAGGAACAGAAAAGATGTTTGTGTTGTGTACACAAATGTACCAGTGGGTGAGGCACAAGTGTAGCAGTTAGGATTGTTTCCATTTAGGTCTTTGTGCTGTGTAGAGAAACATTGAATACTGAGCGTCAAAATGGGATCCAATTGCACCTTCTTACGAATGGACAGAAAGGTATTGGTTTTATACAGCTACATCAGAAGTATGGCTGGTGCTAAGTTTGGTTCGCTCGACTATTTTGACTTTCTGGATAGCTTTCTGAGCCAGGCCTCAGTCACTCTGCACATACATTGAGGAACCGAATGCCAGTTTCATTGACCATCTGCCCCCAGCCTCCAACCCCTCTTTTTACATTTTTGTCCATGTAATGTGGGTGCTGATTGCGAGGCCAGCATTTATTGTCCATCCCTAGTCGCCCAGAGGGCAAATAAGAGCCAACTACATTGCTGTGCGTCTGGAATCACACGTAGGCCAGGCCAACAGGTTGGTTTTAAATAAAAATTAGCAGTAGGTACACAATCACTCTCACGTTAGCTTTTTATTGAATTGAAACTCCTCCATCGATCATGGTGGGATTCGAACCCATGTCCCCAGGACATTGGCCTTGGTCTCTGGGCTACGAGGCTAACCATGTTACCACAATACCACTGACTCCTTCTCCTTGGGATAAGAAACAGAAATAAAAGAAAGCCTTTTGCCACCCGCTAGCAATCCCCTCACCAGCCTCCCACCCCAGACACGATAAGAACACAGCTGAGCTGATTGTTGCTGCACTATCCTGGATGACCCTCATAACCCTCGACTTCTTTGAGAATCAAATTCTGTCTGATGCAGCCTTGAATATATTCAATGTCCCAGTCTCCACTGCTCTCTGGGATAGAGAATTCCGAAGGTTAATAAGCCTGAGACAAAATTCCTCCTCATCTCCGTCCTAAATGGAACACCCTTTATTTTGAAACCACGAACTCTGGTTTCAGCTTTCCCCATGAGGGGAAATATCCTCTCAGCATGCAACTTGGTGGGGGACCCTCGTGTCTCCACACAATCACCTCCCATTCTTCACCT